CTTTATCTATCTTACTTTACCGTTTTAGATTGATTTCGTATTATTTCCATTTTCAGGCACTTATCCCGAAAATAAGCTAACTCAGCCAAATAAGAGCTTAATTGAAGCAATTATGGGATTAAACAAAGAATGAGCAAAGTGGAGAAAGAAAGAAACAAAATGAAGCAAAGCAGCAAGTTCGATCGATCCAAGTCTAAGGTTCGATCGATTAAACATTGATCGATCTCAACACTTCAAGATAGATCCAAGCCTTGACCCAAAGCACTTAAGTCCAAAAGTTTGATCGATCCAACATCATTCTTTGATCGATCGAACACCTTTGTCCTTATCCAAATGATTGATCCTATCCATGGCTGTACCACCCACCAACCACTTTTGTCCTTTTCCCATAAATATCTTCCATAAATATCTCGGATTTTTCTTTTTCCAAAAAGCTCAGCTAATTGGATCGATCCAGCTTAAGTTCAATCGATCTTACTTACTTTCGATTGATCTCACTTCCTTCGATCAATCGAACTTCCTATAGTGCGAAAAAGTTAAAATTCCATCTCATTGAAAGTTGTCCTTTATCCAATCATTAGGGAATATTGTGTGCACGACCCCAGCTCATTTTGGGTGTCATTTTGACTTACCTATATAAGGATAAAGATTGCTTTTTTAAAGTGAGCCAATATTATTTTTGATATCATCTCTTGGAGAAGAAGTTTAGAGGAGAAGGAGGCTAGAGACACCATTGGAGATCTTCATCAACAAGGAGCAAACCTCTTCCATGGAGTTAGCCCTTGAGGGTTGGAGCATCCTTACTATGAGTGGCTAGACATCCTCTTGGGGCTAGAGTTAGCCCCAAGCATGCTTTCTATATTTTAATCTTATGTATTATTGAGGGATTAGTGTTGTAATTAATGTTTTGACACCTTAATATATACAGATCTTGTTTAATCAATGATTTGTGTGGTTTAATGCTTCCAATTGATCATTTCATTATATTCATATGTCTATGTATGCTAGAATTGATGTTCATGTTCTTGTCTCTAGATTTTGTGTAGTTGATGCATGTCTATGTGTATTGATGCCATGGATTTAGAGATTATCAAAACATAGTGCTTAAAGGAATGTTTTTTTGATTCTCTTGATGGTTCATGCTTATCTCTTGATGGATTGTGCCTCTCCCCTAGTTTATTTCATGCTAGTAGCTTATATGTAGTGTAGTTGTAGTATAATGTTAAATGAGAGGACAATCCATGCTTGTTGTTTGATGATCCAAGCTTTTGAATGCAATTAGCATATGTCTCTAATCTTGTTTTGTATTTGGATTGTGAGCCTAATGAAAGGATTAATGACTTGTTTTGATTTATTGTGCCTTTTACATGTTGTTTAGACAATATATGCTTCATTGCTTAGATATATTATGCCTTTCACATGATATTTAGACAATACATGCTTAACTAGTCATCCTTACTTGTTGAATCAACCAAATACACACACACCAATATTGCAACACCGTAATTGCCCTCATTAATCACTTGTCAATAATGTGGAAATGCATTGCTTGGTGGTGACCTCTAAACCCCAAGACTCTTCTCTCTCTTACTTACTCTTAATTACACTCTTTTGCTATTACTTAGTTTAATTTAGTTGCTCTTTAATCAACCAACTAACCAATTGTTTGATCACTCGACCTACTAGCCCTAATTGCGATTCCACAATCAACTCCGACATTGCTCAATCCCCATAATCCCTTGGGACGATCCTTACTCGCCCTAGCTATATTTTTAGTGAAGGTAGTAGTGGCTTTATGAATGTAACTCTTGGCTTTCCCCTAAATGCACACTCTTAAGCTTATGGTAGGACGACGGCCACAATATTTGTTTTCAACATGGCTGTTACTTTCAATTAGAAAAGACCTTACTGATCAAAGTCATTCTGGTCGGAATACTCGTCGGATCAATGCCGAAATCTGTGGTGGGTCAGAACTGTTGTTGTGCCCCGAATATGTGCTGTAGCTATTATGGGTACTATAGCAATACCGATGACTATTGCTGCTTAATTTGGTTGCTAGGATAGTCCTTGCTATCTTAGTGGTGTTGTGGTTGCTCATATTGTGACGGATGCATTCTTCAATTCTATCATCGACCAATCCGATGCGAATTGTTCCGGAAAAAGCTTCTACACTAGAGTTGCATTTCTTGAAGCTGCCAATATTTCTTGTCCTAGATATGGCACCTGAGATTGCAGCTTTCGATCTTTGTACATGTCTCATTGGAAACTCAAAGTACATAAGATTTCAATCTCTCTCTCTATCTAGGTAAAATTATGTAGTGTTCAAACTAGAGGGGTTGTAGTACATTATGGGCAGTAAAAGTGCTATTAACATAGACATAGTGCTATGAAATCACCAATTTCATCTTTGTTATAGTAAAATGCATGAAACAACACACACACACACACTAATTATATATAACAAGGCAAATTAATCTTCTAAAGTATTAAATTTCTAGGCAGATACGTAGATATATATATATATATATATACACACACACACACACATGCATTAATGTGTACATAAATACACATTAATTGGTTTTTAACTTTCACGGGTTCAAAACACATATGTACATTTTGGTAGGAGTGTTGGCACAGAAATATGTATGTGCATATATTGGCATATATCCACACAAATTTATTTGTTTATTTTTCCAATAATGGGTGTCCAGGGTTTTCTATCCCGACTAATCCACAAAATTATGTCCATCCGCGAACCCTTAAAGAATTGTTTGCATTTAAAATGAATCGATTCTAAGACTTGATGCTTCATGAGACCCTAAATCGAGTAAAGTCTTTTCCAATTAAGCCAACTCTTTGGGATTAAATCCACACAAAAGTTAATTAGAGCTTTGTTACAGTAAAATTAACATCATAAATGACTGATAGACTTTAATCTTAAAACATAAATATAACAATCAATTAAATCTTTTGTTTGTGCAGACTTTTGCTATATTGAAGAAGTAGATGGTGCCTCTAAGAACTGCTACGATCCAACGAAAACAGAGTATCCATGTGCACCCAACAAGGGTTATTATGGCTGAGGTCCACTTCAGCTATCATGGAACTACAATTATGGTCCAGCCTGGATTGACAACAACTTTGATAGACTAAACAGCCCTGAAATTGTGGCCTCAAATGTTGTTGTGTCGTACAAGACGGCCTTATGGTTTTGGATGAAAAATGTTAACCAAGTCATGGGACATGGGTTCGGAGCAACAATAAAAGTCATCAATGGTGTGTTTGAAATTTATATATATATATATATATATATATATATATATATATATATAATAAAAATTATTTTATGGTCATATGCATTACGTTTTCTAAAGTAGGACTGCAATGTAATTATTGATATTTGATGGATTGGGTTGTACTTTCCAATTTGGTGGTCTAATTGGGAGTATGGTTTTTATACCATTATATTGTAATTTTCTAACTTATCTGGTGTGATTTAATTCTAACCATTAATATCTAACTTTCCATGATAGGAAGAAAGACTTAGCTAGGTATATTTTTTTGTAGAGAGGTCGTCCCCCCCCCCCCCCTATTGTTGTTATATATAACGGTTTTAAAACCCTTATTCAGACCTATCGTATCGACAACTCTCAGAATGGGGTAAAGCGCTCTAATTTTTCAGATCTCTCAAGGGCACTAATGAATTCCCAAAAGGTATCTAAAGTTTAATCTTCTAATCAGGTATGATATCAAAACCTCTCTTTAATTGATGATTAATTTTGATTTCTACAGGTTATTTATTATTTAAACCCAACATGGTGCACTTGAATGTAACGGTGCGAACCCTGAGGCCGTTAAAGCTCGTGTAGACTATTACACCAAATACTGCAATGAAATCGTTGTCAACCTTTCCACTAGTCTCTACTGTTATGTCACATATCAAAGTTCTTATATATATATATATATATATATATTGGGTACGTGAATTGTAAGGAAATAAATAGTAGTCTGAAGTTAATCTGTTTAGGTTCTTATTGATAGTTTCCTGTATTTTGTACCTAACATTAATATTCTCTTAGACTACTTGTACTGATATATGATCTATAAGGGATCAAAATAAATAACATGAATAAAAATGTATCGTTTGGTTCATCCTGTAGCAATAAACTTTTTGCATGCATTTTCAGATTATTCAATGTGCATCAACAAGATGATTAAGAAAAACTAAAATAGAAAGGCTAAAACATAAAATTATTTCACTAAAAACTTAGTTTTGAAAATTTCCACAAAAACATTTTTTGTTTGGAAAAATGTCATGAGTTATGTACATTCTGCTTTTCTCAAAACTATATTTGGTATAAAATACAAGTTATTAGGTTAGACTATGAGGAGGTTAGAATGTGAAACTCACTTCTTATTTGTAAAAATGTCCACAAGGGTTTGACAAAGTCGCATTTGAAAAATAAGTGACCATAGGATTCCAATTCATTGTTACAGAGAACACATAGTGTGGCATTGATGTGGGAGGTACATCTTCTATTGAAGGTTGGATGGCGGTGTTGGATGGCAACCCACAATGTGAATGAGTGTTTTGGGATTGATGGCTTGGTCTAGACTAGGTGAACCCATGGTAGGGTGGGTAGGTGTTGGTTTAGATGTTTCAAGGTTTGGGATATTGAGAATTTTCCTGCATTTGATGGGCATATAACTTTATCTTGGTTTTGTGGATTAATTGGAATGTTGGTTGTGGGGAGTAGTTGAGGTATTAGTGTGCTGATGGCATTTTATTCCTCTTTGGAATATAAAATAAAATAAATCATCCAAATCCTTCTTATTAAAAAGTAAAAGTCTACAACGGTCCACGGACCAAACCATACGCGTATTCAAGAAAATTGCGTGTCAAACTTGAAGAAATAATCCCACGTTTTCCTGGCACATTCCATTGACTACACGTTATAAAATACCTCTATATCAACCTTGCCATTAAACACCACACATTTCTCTTTGAACAGTATATACTTCTTTTCAACATGGTTGCTTTAAATTTCGAAAAGACCATACTCATAATAATTCTGGCCGAAATCCTTGCCAGATTCCGTGGTGGGTCAGGACTGCGGTTGTGCTACAGACCTGTGCTGTAGTGAGCATGGATATTGTGGCGTTGGGGATGCCTATTGCCTCACAAGTTGCCGAGAGGGTCCTTGCTATGTCACACCTAGTAGTTGTGTCTCTGTCGCTTATACTTTGACAGACGCATTCTTTAACGCCATCATTGGCCAAGCCGGTGCAGATTGTGCCGGCAAGAATTATTGTGAGTCTAGAGATTTATTTGCCATGTTTTGATTAAATCCTATTTTGTTGATTCAATGACCTAATTTAGTTTTTGAGTTGGTTGTGTAATGACCATACTATATTGTTTAACATGTATATAAATTAGGGATCGTTTGTATGAAATTATACTTTCGATATTGAAATGAAATTGTCATAGTGTGTAACGAATCGCACATTGAAGATTCGATATTATGAAGGTCATTGTAGACTTGAACTTTAGGACATGGTTTGTGTGGATTCAACCTTATTTGTGCATGTAAATTGATTCCTAGACATTATTTGAGTTTGTATAAGTTTGGTCTAACTTATTGATTTTGCTTAAGTTTTGAACTTTTTATTTTGGAAGGCTTGTAAGGAAAAGAAACATGTGATGGTTAGAGTTTGGCTCTAGTATGGCGACAAGAGTTTCCTTAGTTATATGAAGTGCACCTAGGTACGTAGTACCTTGTGGGAGTAATCGCCTAGAATCACTTATTCATGACCCACTAGGTAGTACCTTGTGGGAGTAATAGTCCAGAATAACTTGCATGGTCAGTAACCAAGTATTCTTAGTCCTTCCACTATTTGACTTGATTTTGCATTCAATTCTAAGTAGCTAATCATGGATCACTTGTAGCTTATGAATTGGTGCTTGCCTTGTGTATTAGGATCTCATTTAGTATACTTGGAATCGTATACTTGCTTCATGTATTTAGATCTCATTTAGTATGCTTGGACTAGTGTACTTGTTTGTGCAATCGAACCTCTTTTAGTGTACTTGAATTCGTATACTTACTTCATGTGTGTAGATTTCATTTAGTATACTTATGCTATGTGTACTTGTTTTATGCACAATTCATTTAGTTTAGTATACTTATGTTGTGTACTTGATTTACGAGATTTCCATATTAAATGTATACTTATGTAAATATGCTTAAACATTGCATGACTTGTCTTAATATGGTTTAGCATACTTGGAAATGTATGCTTATTTGTCGTATAACATGTTTTAACATTGTTTAGTATACTTGAGCATGTATACTTGTATGCCGTAGTTCATTACAATTGCATGAGTAACTTAGGATGATCTCTGAGTCTCACTTATAATATAGACGTTAGGTAGCATGATCCTTTTGAATTGTTTCATGTTAATGTAAAAACATTGTAAAAAGTTAAGTCGATGCATGCTCATTCTCTACGAGTAACTTGTTTACTCACCCCGAAGTTATCAGGTTGTTTTCAGGTACGGATGCCTTTATTTGGGATGCACAACATCACTAGGTCATTTTGATGGATTGAAGTTCTTTTAAGTGTATTCTTGTTCACATGCAAGTGTTAGCATGCTTGATTTTTTACTTTTAAAGTTGAAATAGATAGTTAGGTCAAAAATGTCATTTTTTCCTTGAAACTTGTAAGGTATGCCTAAGCACACTTTTTGACACTTATTTCATGTATAAGATATGTGGCAAAGGGCTAAACTTCATTTGAAATCCATATATATTCATATGTTGAAATTTGCCTTTAATAAGAATAATATGAAAAACTAGGGTTTTATATGTTATTTTTGCACCGGTGCGTGCATTATGTATGAAATACATCATTTGGCATTCATTTACCATATATGAGGTGTGGCTAAGGGCAAAACACCATTTTCTTTTAGGTTTTACATTTTAGTTTCATATATTGCATTTTTTGGCTAAAATAGGATAATCCGAGCCTTTAAGGGTTCAGTTCCAAATTGGGTGGTGCAAAGTATGCATGAGCACCTCCACTAGGACTCATTTAATATGCATGAAGTGTGGCCAAGGGCCAAACGGTCTTTTGATTGCATTTAGGTGTGGTTTTGCATTTTTTACCTTTAAAAGGCATTTTTCCCACATTGGGGTTTGGGTAGGTCATATTTTGCATTGGCGGTATTTTTAAGCCGTAAATCATTGTAGCACATCTTAATAGGTAAGTTATGTCTGCGTGCATGATCGTTTTTGGGCAAAACCTTTTCCTTGGTGATTTGAGTCTCCTTTGGGCTCATTTTGCACTTTTTATGCCAAAAACTATGCATAAGGGCATTTTGGGGTTTTCACATGAAAAATATAGTTTTCTTTTGCATGGTTGGATAGAAAATATGATTTTGGGTTGGGGAAGGGGGTTCTTCTTTGTGTTTTTTTCAAAAAGGCCCAGAAAGGCCTCAAAATCACCTTCAAGTTCAGATTTCTGTTTTGGCTTTTCAGTGGATGAGCGCTCGTCCATGGGGGAAGAGCGCTCATAAATGGGGCAGTGGGCACAGCAAGTTTGTGCCCAATTACGAGCGCTCGTTACTCTTGGATGAGCGCTCGTCCATCCTTCTGTGTGTGTGCGCGCGCTTTGTTTCAGCACTGCTTCTACGACTTTAAGTTGTCGTATCTCCTTCGCTTTAACTCCGAATTAGTCCATTCTTGAGTCTAAATTGACCGCGTCAAAATAAGATTTCTAATGGTACCAATTACAATTTCAGATTCCATTTATAGCTCAAGATATTCAAGTTTTAGTGAGATAGTGTTAGGATTTGGTTCGAACCGGGATGGGGTTTCTCTTCCTTTGATTTCAAGACTTGATATCTTTGTTGTCCGAACTCCGAATCAAGTGATTCTTGAGTCTATCTTTGTTATTTTTTCATTTTCTTTCCAATGGTATGCACGATGGCACCCATTTCAGTTTGGAAAGACCATTTTGCCCTTGATCCATTCCTTGGAGGGTTTTAAAATTCTAACTCCGGTCTTACTTTCGTTGAGTCACGGGACTCCTCAAAAGGCCATTATTGTGTCTTAGGGATGATGTACATCTCTATAGACTTGTTTATATTTAACTTCCACATTTTGGATCCATTTTGGGTCATCACAGGACACATTGGGTTTGTAAAATCCAGGGTCGTCACACATATGGACCCTGAATATTGAATTTAAAACAAAATTTTCATTTTTATTTTTTAAAATTTAAAGTGCCTTACCTTAATTTCTTTCAAGTAGGCCACTTGTTTTGGAACGCAGTGCGGAATAATCTAACTGTGTTGAATTGTTGCCACTTTCAAACAAAATTCAATATTGAATTTAAAACAATATTTTTATTTTTAGTTTTAACCTAAAGTGCCTCTCCTTTTTTTCAAGTAGACCACTTTTTTGAAATGCTGTGTGAAATAATAGAAATAGTATTGAATTGTTGCCCATTTTCAAATAATTAAGTATGATTGCTTGTTTTAAACAGTCTTTATCATTTTCGCTGAACTACAAAAGAAGAAAAAAAAAAAAAAAAATCAGTGAACTATTTCAGATGGGCAGAGGAAAAAGTAAATGACATTTAGGCCCACCAAATTTATAAACATTGACCTAAGTTTACTTACACAAATGTAGTGCGTCCCTCATGCTATTAATCTTTTTCCATGGAAAGAGGAAGAAGAAATAGAAAGCACTTATTACTATTGTATTGGAAGTCAATACAATAATTTTAACTTTCTTATCATCTTACACAGAACCACGGATGGTCGCCAAAGGGACTTTACCTTTTTCAATTGGGAAAACACAAAATATTGTGGTATAGCAACCAATGCATTCCATCACTTTGATGGTCTCCGTCAAAATCCTTATTCACATCATTGTACAAGTTGGGGTTAGGTTAAATTTTATGTGTAGATACAAATTATAAGAAGACTTTGATTTGACTTAATTGTGTCATCTATATGGTAATTAAATATGTCATGTTCATATTTGAGTTGTCAATCCATTTATAATTTGTTTAACTAAATATGTTAGATATACATGTTCTGTTTGTATTAAAATGATCTGTTTAGCTAAATGTGTTGAATAATTTTAATGTAATCAAACTGGAATAATTGAGTAAGAATAAAGGAAAAGTACAATAAATCCCCCTCGATTATTGGTCTTTTTTAGTAAACCCCCTTGTCTAATTTTTATATCAAAGAACCCCCTCCAACTATTTGAGGAGGTTAAAAGAGTGGATGTTTGGACCAAAATGACCTAATTGCTAACATCTACTCTTTTACCCCCTCGAATAGTTGGAGGGGATTCTTTGGTAAAAAATTAGACAATGAGAGTTTAATAAAAAAGACCCATAGTCAAGAAGGGCTTATTGTACTTTGCTCTAAAAATAATTAAGCAATTATATTGATAACAATTATTTATCCATTAGATAATTATGTGTCAATGGGTCATTTTGTAAACTAACACGGTGATTTATCATTCTTAAATTGGAGTGCAACTGTTCTCATGTGTTGGTGTTAGGTTGAATTGCTTAATAAATTGATTTGAATTCAGTCATGAGACAATTGACTAGCCAATAAGAGTTTGAGCCCATGTAACATCCCACTCCTAGCCTAACATTTTAGAGCTAAGCAGGAGAAAGAAATTAGTGCGTAGGTTGTAAAGGGTACTTTGACCACTCTAAAAGAGTATAAGGAGAGGCACCCTTTATTTATGTAAATGGGGTTATAGACTTTCTCTCTATATATAGATATATGTATAGTTTTACACTCTACTCATGGCTTAGAGATCTCAGGTTATAATATGAGTGATTTCTCTAGGTATTGAATATTGATGGAACAAGGAGGAGGAGGAAGAAGGTGGTCTAAGGAATATGAGATCTAAGCAAGGAAGGGCTTAGAGTTCCTACAATCTATAAGTGTGTTTGAAAAACTAAGGCTTTGTTTGGATGGGAAGATTTGAGGGGATTTGGAAAGAAAAGAAAGGAAAGGATAAGGAGTGTTGTGTTTGGATGGAATGATTTGAAGGGAAAAGAAATTATTTGGAAGGATTTGGAGGGATATATCCTCTAAATCCTTCATTTGGAATCCCTCCAAAATTGACAAGATTTGGAGGGATTTGAAGAGAAATTGAGCAAATTACCAAAGCAGCCTTGAGAGAAGGAGCAAGCTTGAACAGCGGGTAGAGGTAAAACAGGGTATAAGACCTTTGCCGGAAACTATATGAACGGCAGCTTCTGAGAAATGAGTATTATGAAGGGGCTTGGATCGGAGAGCAGAGGACCAAAAATGGGTTTGAAATATGGGTTTTGAACTTCTGATTCTTGAGTGGCAGAGAGAGAGAGAGGAATATATATATATATATATATATATATATTCCTCTTTGTCTGTATATATATATATATATATATATATATCTTTGCAGAAAGAGAGTAGAGAGAGAGCAGACAAAGAGGAATATATATATATATATATATATATATATATATATATATATACATAGTTACTGAGAGAGAGAAATATTCATATATATATATATATATATATATATATAGCAGTTGCAGAGAGAGAGAGAGAGAGAGGGAGTCTCGAAATCTAACCCTCTCTTTTCAACCACATAGACAAGATGGGAATAGGAATACTAGAGCTGCACTTATTAAAAAGTCACTTGGATACCTTGTGAAATAGCTCTCTGTAGATCGCAAAGATGGAAAACATGACCTAAAAGGTATCTGGATGCATGTAAGGGAAGGGATGAGGTGCCGGAATGATTGGGGAGGCTGAAATGATTTGCCCTAAAAAAAAAAGAGGGGGGGGGGGGGGGGGGGTAAAATGGTAAATTGTTCATTCCTTTCTTTTATTTCCTATTAATCCAAACAAGAATATTATCCATTCCTTTCTTTTCTCTCATACCCATCCAAACATGAATATTATTATATCTATCATTTCATTTCATTTCATTTCTTTTCTCTCGTAATCCTTTCGTTTCTTTTCTCTCCTGTGTATCCAAACGAAGCCTAAATGACACTATTAGCACCACAAACTAAAGAAAGGACACTTAACAAAGTCAAGTTCATTCCCAGACTTGTCCCCACTACTTTCTCCATTTGGTACAGCTTTTTTTATAAAAAAAAAAAAAAAAATTCAATAAATAATATTTTGTACAGTTGCTTGCTTCAATTATTAGATTGGAATGTAAAGGTCACACCTTTATTTATTTATTTTCATTTTTCTTACTGATGAGTGGTGATCACTTTCCCATATCCATGAAACAAAACATGTCTCCATAGGACTGTTAAGTAGTTGGATCAAAGGAGCAAACCGTGTTTCAACAAATTACTTGTATCTTTAAGTAATAGTATGTTATATCATCATTTTTATCTCTGTCAGGGGCGGAGCCACGATTTGAATTCACGGGGGCATAGTGGAAATTTTTTTTAAATTTTTTTAAAAAAAATAAGAATAAGAAGAAGAAAAAGAGAAATAAAAATAAAATTTAAAGGAAACAAATTAGAGCATGACTAAACGAGGGGAATTTAAAAAAGTAATTACAAAAATTTAAAGAGTAAAATATAAAAAATAGAAAAAGATGAAAAAAAATTTAGAAACTAATAATTTTAGGGGGGCATAATAAACAAATATATATATATATGTTAAAAAAAAAAAAAAATTAAAAACCATATATATACATAGGGCAGGGCGAGGCCGGAGCATGTGCCCCTGGGCACAAGATAGCTCTACACCTGATCTTTGTCTCATATAAAT